AAAAGTATGTAAAATAATTACATACTTTCAAAGGTGTAGTATTTTATAAGGGACGGTTTATTTTGTATGATCCCAATACTAATCGAATTGTAAAAACCTCAAGAATATCTTTGCCTTAAGGCACACAACTGAAGTTTTAGGCAAAAATTTTAAAATTGAACTTCGTCGATTTGTGTAACGTTTGACGATTCATATGATAAAATTTTAGATGTGACAAATCGTGTGACTGATATATATAATTTTTTAAAATGGGTACTCTTTACCATGCACTGTACGTACATACAGTATTTTACACACTTTTTTTGGTCAATGATTATCCTACATCTTAAGAGATTTCAAAAGTCCTACAGTATCTTAAAATATTACAAAAAACAAGCTATTGTTTTAGCAAAGAATGAACGATGCTGTAAAATTTGTGAAAGCTTAGTTTTTATTAGTTTTTAGATATAAAATTTTTGCAGAAGTTCTTTTTATATTTCAATAGATTTACATACACATTTAAAATTATGGAAGTTACATTTCCTAAATTAGCATCTGGAAAATTTTAAATTATAATTTTAAAGTATGGTATAATATGTTATATACTGTAAAAGCATTTATACTATATATTATTAAATAAAAAAAAATCAAATAAATAGTAATAAAATTGATGAGAAGAAAATGATATTTCGAGTTTTCAATTTTATAATTTATTATATTTACCGGATTTGGCCTTTAAAAAACCTGATACGTAGTAACATCTATGACATGTAATCACACTAGCTGATTTGATGGTCCGAGGTTAATTTTAGGGTAGAGCTTATAATAAACAAGTATAAGTGGGTTTTAAAGGGTTAAATAGAAACCCTTATTTCATTTTAATCCGATTTCATTATGATCCGCGACATTAAATGATAGCCAAAATGCATCATTTAGATTAAAAAAAAAGGACCCGTTCAGGGACTTTTCTCACACCCGGTATAAACTCATGCAGAGCAATCCCCAAAATTCCTGGTCGGATGAGCCGAAATTGATCAACTTTGCCCAAGATCCAAAAACTTCACTAATGAAATCATAGTCGTTCATTAAGTAAAAAGTGCCAGCTAGGGTACCTGGCATAGCATTCATTGGCATGCCAAAATCTCAAATAGATATTAGGCATGCCACTTATATAAATTGCTTTATATCAAGAAAATCTCGGGTTAAAATCATTTCCGATTCTAAAATTCTTGGTCCGGATCCAATAAATTACAGGATCTTGTATATATAACATATGTTATATAAAAAAATATAAAAAATTGTAAAAAAAAACAAAAATTTACTATGACGATTAGTTATAAGGCAGGTTTTAATACTAAATATACAGAATTCTCTTACTTATATTATGTAAATATAATTTAATGGCATGCCAGAGGTGGCATCTTGGCATGGATTTAAATAGTTGGCATGCCATATGGCACATTAAATTTTTTTCTATGCCAGGTACCCTATGCCCAGCTGATGATTTACTATAGCTCCTGCTAACTAGTATAGCTAACCCTAACCATAACGCTAATACATTTCGACCAGGAATTTCAGGGATTGCCCCTGTAAAGAATATTACATGAGTGCGCTTTGCGTATTTAATTATGCAAAACGCTGATCATAATTTTTTAGGGGCCAAATTTTATTTCCTGTCGCGGATCATATTTAACTCTAAAACCCACTTATACTTGTTTATTACTAGTGGTTGTTTTTATCTAATTGACCATCACACACACACACAAAACTGTTCTTCGAACAATAAACTCTACCCTAAAATTAACCTCTAACCCTAAAAAATGTACCTCAAAAATTTTTATTTTTGTCTATTTTTTATATTGTGCAATATTTCATTTTAATCCGATTTCATTTTAATATGTCACATTCATCTATCTTCACGCACCAAGTGCACACTTCCAAAGTTACACTAGTTTAACGCAGTGCCCGGGATCGACAACACATCCACTGACATTTACAAGTTTATATGTCAGATCCGATTATTGTTAATCAGAATGGAAATTTTCCTTTGAAGTCATCGGCATTGGTACTGTACAACGACTGTTCCTGTAGTTCTGTAGTTCAGGGTGCTGTGTGCTCCATTATTATCCTCTTATTGATGGTATACTGCCACTTACTGGTTATCACTTTTGCCTAATGCTCAACAATTCGAATGGTCAATGTCCTATTGGAAATTTTAATATTAACGCTAAATTACTCATGAGTGGCACGGCATACCTAAAATAAAATAGTTATAAGGCATGTCCGCTTATATATATTCAATATATGCGATAGCGTGCTCTTGGCATGCCTAATTTTTTATTCGTGCCACTCACCCTATCATGAACCTAATAACACATGCTTACCTGGTGTTTACAGCTTTTTAGATAGTGCTATTATCTGAGCAGTGGTAAGACACTTTTTAAACTGAATATATGATCAAAAAAAATTTTTTTTTTAATAATTATCCATTCTTTAGTGAATAATGTGTGCGGGGACAAATACATATTGTTAGTTAATAATTAATTATGTTGATCATTATGGCCTTTTTGCAATGGAAATGGTAGTTAGAAATCATATTTTAAAGGTAACGAAGAGCTATCGTTTGGAGTGTAGAAAATTAAATAACTTTGCATTATTAAAACAATTACGATTTCTAAAATCGCGTTTTAAAACATTTGCATCCTTACTGAAATCACGAATTTACACTGCTAAATCCCGAGCCTACTCGCTGTTGAAATCTTTTTTTATTGCCTAGTTTTATTTTTAAGAAGTGCTTTAACGAAAGCCCTCCTATGGTTGGTATCTTACTATGAAGCGATTGTGAGTAGCACCGAAAATTACATGATCCGATAAGCTTTCCTTGATATCATACATAAAAAGGTAACAATAACTGCATCAAAAAAAAAGTAATCCAACCTTAAATAAGCACAACGTTTAAAAATCCAATGTTACACCAACGTTACACCTAATATTATGATCTGCAAGTGAAATTAAGTGTACGCGGATTAAAGAAATTATTGTAGTACGCACTTTTTTCGCGTACATACATAGGTTTCATGGCACTACAACAAACGACCGAATCTTATATGAGTAGCTCCCTTGAAAATGACGTCCTTTTGGAATATGAAAGACTCGTTTCTAACATTGACAGAGTAAGCGAGATTCTGTTAATATATTTTCCTTATTATATTCAAGAGACTTTTTTAAAATATTTAATAATAAATAGTTAAATCAAACTATCACTCGCTTGAATACCACTGACGTCCTTGTCCTTATCGACAGGCTTCGTGCACTTGAGAAAAAAGTAGGATTGATTTATACTTTGTTCAAGGCTTCAGTATACTCGTTAGTTACCGCTGACCAGTAGAGTTGCGATCAAAACATTCTCTTTGAATTACGACATTAATAATTAAAAAATAAATAAAACTGATTTTTAAATATATTAAATAAAATAAATTACCCGAATGGTTTTTTTTAACTACATTATTATTATTATTATTATTATTATTATTTCCACTTGATTTCCATCTGTTTTCTCGTGATTTAGTTAAAATAAAATTATTTTTTGTCAGATGTGACACTAAACTGCTAGCCTTATTAATGTTAAACCCATTTAGAAAGTTCCTTTCGTTATCATTTTTAGAAGAAAATTTAATTCGTTCAAGATTTTTTTCTGAATGAGCATCATGACGTTGGCGTAAGTTCAACATGAATTCAATATTTAACGAATCATCATCCAAAATAAACTCAGATCTAGAACCTATAAAGATAAAATTCTAAATTATTTATATAAAATAAAACCTAATATTAAAGAAATTAATTATTTACCACTTGGAAACCACGGAATATCAGGTAATTTTTGAATCCGTTCTACAAGTACTTTACAAGCCCCATAAAGTTTTTCTAATGAAAGTTCAGGCTCTGGATCTAAATTAACTTCTTGGTTTCTATTCATTTCAGATATTGCATCACTTATACAATAAGAAACAGATAAACCCCTATCCGTATTATATTCATTATCATTAGCTGTTTCAAGATTTAAATCTTCATTCCAAAAATCTTCAAGTTGCGAAGTAGAAATTTTCTTGTCAAATCAAATAAGTAATAATAACTATGTAATTTGGATTGGACCTAAACCAAATGTGACCCATTTTCGATCCGTAGTGTCAAACACAAATTTATTAATATAATAGATACAAAATGCATGCATTCAATCATAGTACAATATTAAAAAATTCTGCATATGTGTAAATATTTGTACAATTAATAATTATCTAGACTTTGAGCAAGGTTACCACCACATTTAGTAAAGAATTTATATGATTTTATAGCATTAAGGTTCATGGACGTTAAAAGTACAAAGTCTTGAGCAAATATTTGTTAGTCTTGGCTTTACTAAACCAAGCTAAGTGAAAAAAAGATGCTACCATAATTGCATTTCAGAACTTCAGCAATCTTTGTTATTATTAATCTATAAAAAAAATTTTATGTCAAGAATTTTTGAATATATAATTTGTCAAGAACTTGAAACCGTAATTTTTAAAGCTTTTTTTGAACCCCAAAAAACTTTTTCAAATCTTAAATAATAAATATTTCAACAAAATTTCAAATTTCGAGTAGAAGCGTCTAACATTTAAGAGATGTTGTCGACTTGTATATTTAATTATATATTACGATTAATGAAAGAGCCGAGCCAATAATAGATAATATCCCTAAACCACTATTTAATGTAACGTAACACGACCAAGAAATAGTTGAGCATTATAATATTTTAAGAATAATAATCACTTATCATTACACGGTTAATAAAACAAATATTTTTAATAAAAAAAAAAAAAATTGAATCTGATATAAATTTTCGTGTTATTTTAATTAATCTATTATATTACAAGTCTAAGAAGTGAATCAAAAATATTGCAAATAATTTAAATGTAACTGGTAATATAGTAATGTGTATATAAAAGAAGCATTAATTAGAAAACCATCATTAAAAATATTGGTCATGATGGTGGGATAATAGTAAGCTCTACTTCTTCATTGCTACTATTTCCCCTTCTTCGAACATTTTCATCATTATTCGATCGATTTGGAGACGTTGCCCGACTAGGATTTGGTGACCAACGTCGAAACAACGTTGTAGGCATTGTCCGATTACGGAATACTGACATTAATGATTTCTTTTTATCGTTATTCGATGATGATGTAAAAGTATTAGAACGTTGACCTGTAGTGCATTGTTGTTTTGGTTGATATATTGATTGTCGGAATCCTTCAAAAGAACTCTCTTCTCCAGAAAAAGCAAATCCTGTGAATGATTGGCGCTTTCCTGAGTCCATATGGAAAAGCTGTTCCATTGATCGTATGGAGTCTTTGCGAGTTTTTTTAATTGAAGTGATCCTTGGCAGTTTTGGTAATTTTGACATAGAGCGTGGTTTTGTAGATACATCTAATGTAATATCTGCAAAAGAGTTGTCATTATGTACATTATGCATATTTGTATTGTCATGCATGTCAACTACCATAGTATGATTAGAATCATCGTCACTATTTAAAGATATGTCTGTAAATTGTTCTCCACTTTCACGCTTCTTTTTCTTTCCTTTTTTGGATTCATGAACTTGTTCACGGATAATATCCATATCACTTGGCCAATACGTTTTATGAATGTATTTGACTGCATATCGAGGTAAAAGACTAAATACGGCACATAACAAAACAGTTAACCAGAAATCAATTTCGGTATATAATATGAGGTCCATTCTAAAGAATCCAATATACCAAAGAGAATAAAATTCCACCCATGCATAAAATGAAAGAATACTAAGGCCAATCACTACAAAACATAACCATGACCAATTCATAGTATTCAAACCAACATATAAATTCGTGGTGACTACGACAGCTCCAGCTACCATTGTTCCGAGATCACTTAAACCATTATTTTGCAATCCATTAGCATGAGATGATCCATTTTGAAATACTCCAAAAGGAATAAAAAAACAAATCGCTGACTGATAAAAGGAATCTAAGACATAAAGCCAAAACTTTGACTTTGTAAAGTCACGTTGTAGTATACCTCGCTTATATAATTGCGGATTATCCAACGAAGTTTTGGCATCAACGTCTTGATCAAAAGCACCTATATATGCATATTAATTTAGTCAATGTTTATAATCGTAAGTGATTATATTGTTCTCCTACTTGTGACCATGTATACGTACCAAGATACATAACGGGAACGGCTGTGAAAGCCAAGTTATAGAGCAAAATATATGTATAATCATATAAATATTGGGCAGTAAATCTATGAATGATATTCGTTAAAAATTATATTTATATTAAATTCGTTATAAATGTAAAAATAAACGATTTAATCGAAAGCCTACCCTGCCCAAATTTGATACCAAAACATTGCGATTGTCCAAACGATATTTTTATAGAAAAAGCACGATATCATTTCTGCGATTCGAATATAAGACCAACGACCATGAACAAGTAAAAGTTTATCCAAAAACCGAAATTGGGCAAAAGCATAATCTGCTGCCATTACAGCTTGTCGACCTTCTTCACCCGCAATTCCAATACCGACATTTGCTTCCTGGATCATACTCACATCGTTCGCACCTTTAAATATTAATAAGTATACAAAAGACAAATAAATAACAATAAATAATAAATAAATTTGACCTGATAAACATTCACATACCATCACCGATAGATAAAGTCATCACGCTCAATCCTTCCTTTACTAAAGCCACAACTTTGGCTTTTTGCAACGGACTAACACGACAACATATAACACTATTACATCTCTTCCCAATATCCAATAGCAAATGTTTTAATGATTGGTCCAAAGCATATTTAAGAGTTTCACCATCAATTACTAGAGCATGCTTGCTACTTTTATTGCAAGCTTCAACGTTAGGTCCGAAGAATTTATCCATAGCCTCCTTTAATTGATAAAGAGTACTTTGTTTATCTGATGCATTAATAATGATCAAAAGCATATCTTTTTGTAATAGATTACATGAGAAACCAATATTAATGGCGGTTTCAGTTTTGTCTCCTGTAAGTACCCAAATCTTGATACCAGCAGTTGATAAAGTGGCTATACATTCTGGTACACCTTCTTGAAGACGATCTTCAATAGCTGTTCCACCCATTAAGGTCAGTGAATGTTCTATTAACTCACAAGCTTTTTCGACCTTTTCTTCACGGTCATTAATGCTTGAAGAGGCTTCTGCGTAACTCTGAGCCCAAACATTGTATTCTTCTTCGGGTATTACACGATAAGCTACACAAAGTGTTCGAAGGCCTAAGATTATAAAAAATTATAAATTTTATTTAAAGTCTTTATTAATCGTAAAAAAAAAAAAAAATTCAAAAAAATTACCTTCATTAGCAAATTTTTCTAAATCAGCCAATGTATCTTCTTTTAATTGATCTTGACGACC